AGATGGCGGCCATACCCGTCACGAAACTTCCCCCATTCACGGCGGCGGCGGCGGCCGTCGCCACGGCCGATTCCGCTGCGAAGGTGGAGGGCGCAGGCAGCCACGACGACGAGGGCGCAGGCAGCCACGACGACGAGGGCGCCGCCGCCCTCCGTGCGAGGGAACTGCGGAAGCTCGCCGACGCGCTGGATCGCCACCTCGGCCCCTTCCTCATGCTGTGCGCGCGTCAGCCGAAGGAGCTCTTCCCCGCGCTGCTTGCCGTCTTCAAGGAGTGCGACGAGCGGCAAAACGAGGCCATGATGCACCTCCTCGCGGAGCACGTGGACGTGCGCCGGATGTGCCAACGCCTGTTCCGGACGGACGCGATGTCGTTCATGTCCAACGTGATGCCGTACCTCCGCCGGCACAGCGGCGACGCCACGGTGCTGGTGCAGAAGATACTGTGGGCCATTTGCGCGGAGCTGCGAGCGATGGGGCAGGCGACGGAGTCCTCGGCGTCGCAGCTGGAGCGGACGGCGCTGGCGCTGCTGGGGCACGCGCGGGTGATGTACGACAGCAGCGAGATCCCGCAGCCGTACCGTCCCGCTGCCGGTGCCGCAGGGGATGCCGCAACGGCGCTACACGACGTGCGTTTCGTTGCCCCCTTTCTCAGCCTTATCAGTGCGGAGGAGCTGCGGCGCACCTACCTTCGCTCCCTGCTGCACTTTGTACAGCTGCAGCTCCAGTTCCAGCTGCAGCTGCAGCAGCAGCAGCAGCAGTTTGGCGCAGCCACCGGGACGAGTGCGGGCGCGGAGGTCTCACGAATGAACAGCGAAGAGCTGGAGGCATTCATCCGCGACGTCGTGCGCGAGGTCCTTGTGCGGTCGTCTGTGCCCTTCTCCGACGGCGTCGCCCGCGGTCTTTCCCGGACGGACCTTCTTGTCTACCTGCACCGCGCCTCACACGAGTCACGCGCCGCGGACTCCCAGACGGCCGCGGGTAAGCATTCAATGTCGTCGTCAAGCACGGGGCGGGGAGAGTCGCGCGGTATTTTGGGCGCCGCCTCTTCTTCCGCGGCAGACGTCGAGGGGGCTGCGGGCGCGCGGCATGCCGCAGAGGATCTCCCCATTAGCCCGCTCACGACGAAAACGGTCATTGCCGTGCTGCTGAAACTTACACGGACCTTCGATGCCACCACGACGGAGTTTCTCTACGGCCCTGAGGAAATTAAGAGCGCGGTGCGTCAACTGATGCAGCACATCGGCGGCAGTGGCAGTGGCGTGTCCGCCGTTCCCTCGCAGCTGATGGTGACACTGATACTTGCCTGCAAACTCCACGCCCAAAGGCCACACGCCGATCTCGTTCGCTTCGTCCACCAGGCGGTGCTGCTGCCGCTCGCGAAGGATGCCACGTGGGAGAAGGACATGAATCTCTGGCGCGGTGTCCTGCTGTTTGCGGAGGAGCACTACAGGGAGTGCAGCAGCTTCCTCGTCAATCTCCCGGAGAAGGTGCTTATCCAGGCCCTGCGCAGCCAGTCGCAGCTTCGCGAATACTTTAGGGAGGAGCACGGCAACAACGCCGCCTTTGGCCACATCCTGGGGAGCCTCTAGCGACGCGGGGCCACCGCGAAGAGGCGGCGGGAGGAGCCTACACGGAGCCCGAGCACGCCGCGGCGCGCCGTGGGATGGGGGGCGGACGTCCAAGAGGAGACGCCACAGGAGGAGGGGAGGCACGCAACCCGCCCGTTCCCCCACATCCTTCCGCTCGGCAACGGGGGGGCGTGTGCGTGGTGTGTCGCACGTGCGGCGCCGGGGTGCCCTGCCCGCGACGCGCGGCCGCTTAGCACAGTGGCAGTGCACCACTCTAGTAAAGTGGGGGTCGCGAGTTCGATTCTCGCAGTGGCCTGCTTCTTTTTTTTCCGTTTCCTGCCATTATTCGCCTCGGCGCCACACACTTCTCTCACGCCGCCCATTATGCCTCTGCCTTGCATTCTGCATGGCG